CATGTCTCATCTCCATGCCGGCTGCTCGGGAAGCCTGGGGGCGGTGGGGGCCACGGAGCAGGCCAATGCAGGACCGGCACCTTTCAGGGCTCGCCGAGAACGGGCGCCCGGATGGCCACAGCTCTGCTTCGTCCTTCCCGCCCCGCCTGGGATTCTGCCTCACGCCGGCCCCCCTCAGCCTGTCAGTCTCCCGGCTCCAAAGCAGCCTGGGCTGGCTCCTGCCAGGGCGACATGGGGACGAGGGCCCTGTTCCCCTCCCAGCCTCACGAGGGACCCCTCCTGGGCCCTGAGGGGAGTCACACAGAGGGCAGAGGCAGCGTGGGAAGCCGGGATACCCAGGACTGTGGCTGCAGATTGCCTAGGAGGCAGGATCAGAGGCAAGGGCCTTGGGCCACCCTTCTTGGCAGGAGAGAAGCTTCCCTGAGCCAAGCACCACCGCAGCCTGGCAACCGCTGCACACATGGAGACCAGACACAGACGTGGGGCCGAGGAAGCCAGGGACCAAAACTTCATGACAATGCTGTTTGCTCCCCCCATCCTCTCCCATTGCTCCAAGCACGTCACCCCTTCCTGGAACCCATCACTGCTTGCTCCCTGGAGGTGAGATCTGCCCTCCCCGCCTGCCCCGTCCCCTCTCCTCACTGCTTCCTTCGCCCCAAAAGCCCAATCTCTGCCGCATCCTCCAGCCCAGGCATCAGTCTGGCTCCCCGCACAGCCCTCCTCAAATCCCACAGGGCCTGCGGGGCTGAACGAGGTGTCACGAGTGCTAGGCCCTGTGGCTGGCTCTGCCACAGACTCCTGCGTGACCTTGTCCAAGTCACTTAATGGCCTCAGCCACCCAGTCTTCTGCTCAGTGGTTGTCTCCTTCTCGCCACCTGTGGGCTGGGCTGGTTAGACCGTACGGTCTTTGGGGGTGGGGGTTTCTCACTGTAGTGCCGGGCCTGTGGCTGGGATCCTGGTGGGAGGTGGGCTGCAGTGCCACCCACTGATTCCTCCTTAGCCTCCGGTACCCCACAGAGCAAGGCCCAAGAGCTGGCACAGGGGCCCAAGCTTGGGAGGGCAGGAAGGGCCGTTGCTCCCGGCTCTGCTTTCTGAGCAAAACCCACTCCAAGGTGACCCGTTCTCCCAGGGCTGTTCTAGTTCTCCGGGCCGGACTCACAGCCCATCCCGCCGCAGGAAGGGGGAAATGCCCTGGATTTAGAAAGAGCCTCCAGCTCTCCCATGCTGCACATGCTCCCTGCAAGCTACATGCCTGTCCCCCCACAGCTCTGCCCCCTGCTCAGAGATTCCAGAGATGCACCCGCAGCCCGGCCCCCGGCCCCCTCCAGCTCCGTGCTCCGGCCCCACAGCCAGGGGACACGGCAGGCACGACGCTGCCCTTAAATCTGCTCCTAACGAGCGGGCCGCGGCGACGACACGTGCTCTGCGTTCAGCAGTGGGCACGGCTGGGGCGCCCCCCCTGTGCAGGGCGCCAGCTGGAACGGAGCCAAGCGAGGGGAGTTGGGTTTTTATGAATGGCCGGGGAGCTGGGCCTGACCCCGCGCTGCCACCATCCTGGCAGCAGCCGCCGGGGCCGGGGCCACT